TAAGCTTGCAATTCCACATTTATCTGAACTTTCACCCCATAATACCACCTTGCACTTAGCGAACAGACAGAAATGTTATGTGAGCAAACTGCGGGCAGGTAAAAAATAAAAAAGGCGAACTGAAAATTAACCTTAATTAAATTTGTCATATCTGGGGTGTATGATCGGGCAGTCGGAGAACTTGTGTGGCCGGGCAGCTCTTTTCGGCTGGGTCTAGAACTCGCTCTAATGTCACCGGCAACATGACAGTCGACAACATGACGGCAAAAAGCGTTCGAAGCGGGCAGAAATTAAACAAAGCCAAGCAAATAAAGCAAAGGCGAAAATCTATGTTAAAACACAAGCGATTAGAATCGTTTTGGCTGACTAAAACACACCTAATTGCCGGACAAGTCGCTGGAGGACGGCTAATTGAAACGCCGCCCGCCTGTGTTTTTTACCAGATTCTTTTTCCATCAAGGTTCACTTCGAGCAATTTCTGTGTGAGTGCATAATGTTTTTTGCCATACTGCTTGATTTTTTCATTATGTTCGCTTTTTTGCGGCTGCTCAGAATAATTTCAATTTTATTTACCTGGCTCGGGGAGCGGCCACGGCCAGACACGTTTCGCTTTTGGCTTTCGGGCCCAAACAGAGCGGCGACAAGCTGAAATAGAAAAAATGCATTTGCTGGGCATGCAAACCGCGACTCCAGCGGACAATAAATACGGGCGACCGCCCATTTTTATGGCAATCAAACGCGTTGTTTAATTCGAATTGACTTTTTGAACTGGCTGGGAAACTGGGAAACGTGTCGCACGTGCCCACCGCCCCCTGCGATATTTTATTGGATTATTGGTGTAGGGATTGTCAACTGTCATTTCGATTATTGGGATCGCAGGCCAGAAATGACTGGAAATACTCGCAGATAACAGGCCACAATAGAGTCCCCCTTAATTTTGATAGAGCGCTCTCGACTTAATGGTTATCGTTTTTTAATGATTGATCGGCGGGCAAAGATAACGCTTTTTGATAGTGGGTATTATTGGTAAGCGATTAATGGGCAAGCAAAAAGAGAGTTAACTTTGATTTACAATCTATATTTTTTTGTTATTTTAAAAATATTATTTAATTCATCTTAAATACAGAGTAGAATAAAGATTATGAGTTATTCAAGTATTTTTATCCTCGTTTCCCAGCTTGGCATCAATATATTCTTTAATCCCAGCTTTGTATCAATAGAATCTTCAATCTCAGCAGGACAGCAAGAACTTTTTGAGTACTTTCCGATAAAACTTGTGCGTAGAGCCTCGAACACTCGAAAGTTTTCAGTGTAGGCTGCCTGGCAATTGATAGTTATACCGTAAACTTGCTTTCGGAACTATTGCACAACAGCCGAAAAACAAAAGCCAGCCCCTTCCCCCGAAAAAGAATAAATGCAATCAGCGGAAGTTGCCCGCTCCTTGCCTCTTGGTCAAAACAAGTTGCAGTTGGCTTGGGTTGAATTGGATTGCGGTGGCCTGCAGGCGGTGGGCGGTGGGCGAGGGGCAAGGGGCGTGGCATTGGGTCGGGTGCCAAACTTTGTGGCATAAACTTTTAATGAGTTCTTTTTATTTGCGATTTGCATGGCCACGCCCCCCATTTGTCACACAAATGAAATCTGCCAGAGCGAAATTGCATTAAGTTGCCGCTTGGAGGGCATTCATATCCACCACCCACTTTCCCGCCACCCAATCTCAATGACATTGCCTACTTGGAGCTAAAGTTTGGTCAAAGACTCACCACCCAGGCACCCAGCCCCCTTTTCCTTCGGACTCAATGATGAGCAGAAAACAAAAATTGCGAAATAAAATAAATAAATATGCCCGAGTGCAAAACTTTTAAATTGAAAATGCGCTTTGAATATTTCAGCGCTTCAGATCCTCCGGATCCTTTCGCCATCTTGTGCGCCATTGCACTCGCTAACTGCACTTGTGCTCATCTTTGTCTCCTTCCCAGATTCCAGCTCCCAGCTTCCGCTGCTGCGCCTGCCACGCCCACTTCCATCTGTCGACGTCTGCGAAAGGCGAAAATAATTTGAAATTTTAATTAAAAGTATTTGGGCAAAAGTTGCAGCGCTGCCAGCGGCTCTGCTTTTCTATCACCAGACAAATACGACAAAATCAAAAACACAAAAAACGAATAAGCGAAATCACGAGCGCAATTGGCAAAACTCTGTGAGCTGAGGGAGCGGAGGGGCTTGAGAAACTATTTCCGGGCCTGCTTTCAGCCCGCTCGCTCGGTGGCATCTCGGCTTAAATTTTAATATTGCCGCCGAAGGCAAAAACTGTGCACTTGAACATGCTGACGAGATTTGTGCGGGGCGGGGAGAAAGGGAGAAAGCTGCAATTGTTGCCGATGCGACAAGTGTCCCTCTTAAAGGAGCTTCGCTGCTCATTTCGTTTATTGGCTTGGTTATGCGGAAGTGGGCATCTTGAATTTTAAGTTGTTTCAAATTAAATCATTTTGTGTCAATAAGCAATAAATATTGTAGAAATTCTTATTCAAAATATGCAAACAAAAAGGTCACTGATCTATTAGACATCAATATGAGAAAACTCCTTTTATTCTTTCTATTGAAAGGGAAAGTTGATTTCGTTTGTTGTTGTTTGTTGGCTACCTAAACTATACATTTATGATTTTTATAATATGTATTTATTTTTTTTATTTAGTTATAATTTTATTATTATAATATTGTATGCATTTAGGGTTCCATTACATTAAATGGCACAAGGCCAAACAGTTTTGCGCATAAACGTTTTTGCTCTTAAAATGCGTGTTACTGCGGATGTGTGACACACGAATAACTATTAAAACAGAAAAAGTATTTGCCACTCGTGGAGTCCACTACTTTCCTCTGGCCATAATTAAACCTCAGTAGCTGGCGGAGCGAAGGGAAGAAGCCTCAAGAAGAGGAGCCTGCCGTATTCTTCGGTGACTTCGCCCCTTTCATGTTCGGTGCAAGGAGGAAAGAAAGAAACTTTATTAATAAAAGTTTTTCCTTTGGTATTTTAGCCAAGTATTATTAAAAACTTTCATATACGCAACGCTGGCAATTCCACACACCGCACAGTGACACACACACTCACACACATTCTCACACACACTGACACACGTGTGCGACAACATATGTCGACGTCTGTCGGAACATTCGAGCGTTAAATTGTGGAGGCCCTTTTTATGCATGCGACAATATTTGTTGCTGCTGCTTTTGCTTTTGATTTTGATTTTTGCTGCTTCTTGTGTTGCCTTTATTAATTTCGTTGTCATGACATTGAGTTTGGCAAGTTTCGCTCGTGGGTGTCGAATCAGCAGCTAATTTGCCGTTGTTTTGAAGTCTTCACACGTCAATATTGTTGACGAAAGAAGCGGAATTGAAAAGCAGAAAATTATCCTGCCAAATAATAAGTTGAAATAAGTAAGAGACTGTGCTGGTTTGAAAGGAATTTAAAAGAGGAAGCAATTTTACAATTCTTTAAAGACGTGGCTTAAAATTGATTCTTGGATCTTGTTATTTCTTCAGGTTATATTTTTGCCTTACAGTACATCCCCTTCAGGTTAATAGTTATCAACGCAAAGTGGATAGTTTGGTTGGCTCTTTGCCAGAATTGTCAACCACTCGCCTCTTTTACGGACATCAGGGGAAGTCCCTGGGCTGCCGTATCTGTATCTGTATCAGCATCCGTATCCGTATCTGTATCTATTCAGTGTTGTCGGGTTCCAGCTCTCAAACTATTTGCACATTGAGTGCATGCATATTAGCATTGGAAAGAGAATATCTAATGAAGTGCGTCCCGTCCATTAACCGGGGAACGCATTTTCTCTTAGTTTAGTTCCATTAGAGCGCAGTCTGGCTCTGACTGGATTCTGGATTCTGGAATCCAGGTTCCCCCGAACCGCCCGCTTGCTTTTTTACGGCTCTCACTTAGCTAGACAAACTAAACAACTAATTAAAGTAAACCAAAGGCATTTAGCCAGAAAATTCGTTGACCAGATGGGCGGAAGCAATAGCCAAGCGCACACAAGTGCAGAAACAGCATGAATATGCAAATATGAGCCTGTCATCCAGCTCATTTCCATTTCCATTCCCGTTCTGCGCTTTCCCATTTCCTTCAATTGGGTGCGTTGTTCATTAATTTGCTGACTGGGGAAAAGCTGGATGCCGGGACATCACAGCTGCTTCGTTGACATCGATACGGCAGCGGTTGACTTTGTTGGCTCTTAATTGATTGCAGCCATTTAGGCATCACTCTCCTCAGTCCCAGAACCACTCACATTCCCAGCCTCAGCCTCAGCCTCATCCTCATCGCCATCCTGGTGGTGTGAATCTTTGCACTTGTCTTTGAATTAATTAAGGAGCGTGTTTTGAAGTCGGGCTGTTTGCCAGCAGTCGCCACCAGAGGAAAGTTATGGAAATTGCCTACAGAATTTAGAGTTTACATAGGTATTTATCTTGATCACTTTCTACTAGTGGAATCTAGTATAATCCAAACATTATTGCTAAATAAAGCACACGCATCTGTTGTAGTTGTACTCTATACCTATAGTACACTTTATTTATAGAACTAAATCGCTCACACATAAATAGCTTGCGGGGAATTCTTTTGAAGAAGGAAAAAATGAAAAGACAGTGAACGTATTTAATAAAACAATTCATTTAAGTTCAGAAGATTTTTTCATTAGAATAATATTTAATATGGGTTGTTCCTGGGTTTTTTTTATGATATTTGATTTCAGTTTTGAATACTAAAGTCTTCATGATGCATAAATACTTGTCAAATCATTATTAGATTTATAGGAGTTTTCTTTTATTGTATTATCGCTACAAATTATAAATGAGATATTCTTACATTGCTATTAAATGCATTTTATTATGAAACAAAGTCATTATTCATACAAATGCTTTTCTGTTTAATAAACATTATTTTTGATTGGAATGTTTGCCAATTTATAAGTATGGTATTTATTCAGACTGCTTTGTAAAAGTGAAAGTATTTTTAGTTCAAGGCGCCTTGGGTCTTATCATCATATGAACTGTTTTCAAGGAATACGAAGTGTCGTGCCAGTCCCCGCTGCTCCAATAGATTCCGGTGCCATCGTAGTCGTAAATAGTATCTGCATCCGAATACACGCCGTTCAGATTGCTTCACAAGAAAATAAGTAAGTTCATATATATATCATAATATTATCTAGTAATATTATATTACCTAAAACCACATCTAGAGCCATACCACCAGGCTCCATCGCTCAAACTGGCGCACCTGTCCTGAGTATCCTGATCATTAGTGCTAAATTTGGCCAAAAGATTTGAGGTTAGTGCATCGCCAGCATTGCCGGAGTATTCTCCCAGGGACAGAAGTCGGTAAGATGAGTTCTCGTCGCCCACTTCGAATCGATCGTATCGAGCGAACCTCTTTTCTCCCTCAAAATCTTCCAGCTGAATGAACAACTCGTGCTGTTCCGATTTGGTGATTTGATTGAGAGTCTCTAGCCCAATGAAGAATTCTCCCGTCAAATTGCCGAAACCATCGCGATAATCCGTCCAGTTGCGATTAAAGTCAGTTTTGCCATCCAGTCTCCTCTGAATAACCAGCCAACCAGATCCGGCTATTTGGCTGTCGCAAAAGACCGAAACATCTCCCATTGTCGGCACTTTAACAGATTGAACTCCAGTTGAGTTCTCGAACTGTGTGCATGTCCTTAGGTTAATTTGCTCCTTCTGGTTTAAAACTGCATTATTCTGTAGAGGTTGAGGTGCTTCGGTAGTTGATGACTTTTCTAGTTGTTCTCTTTTGAGGTTTTCAACCAGTTTTTCACAGGTCTCATATTGCGATCTTAAACTGGTTATCATCGCTGCAGTTTGGTTCAGTTCTGTCCTGCAGTTGTTTAAATTTACTTCTTGAACTGGATTTTGTTCTTGGTTTTTGCAGTTGTTTAAATTCACTTCTTGGACTGGATTTTGTTCTTGAATTTTAACGCTGTTTAAACTTGCATCTTGAATGGGTTTTGTTTCTTGATTTTTCGAGCATTGCTGTAAGGCTTCTTGCATTTCTTTAATTTGCTGGCTTTTAATCCGATTGAGTCCTTTGCTTTGCATCTCGTACTTTCTTAGACTGTCTACAAGATTGGCCTGAATTTTGAAATTCTGTTCCAGATTTTCATATTCCCTTGTAAGCTTCAAAAGAAGAACCAGCAAGTATTGTGCAGTAACTCTTCCGTCATCGGCGGGATTGGAAACTAGTTGGCTGACTTGCTGAATACCCGCTTTTTCGATGGACGTGAGTGTGAGTTCGGGAGCATATTGATAAGTTCTCGTTGGCTGGTGCACCCATCCTCTGGAATCGCACACACTCAAACCGATCGCAATCAGAACTAGCCGAGATGCAGCTCCCATTGCTTCTCCGACGGGCAATGAATTCAGACTGAGGCCGCCACTAACCGGGGAAATACTTTATAGTCATTGTGTGTGTGTATCTAGGTTCTTCTCAGGAGCAGAGCCAGATTGGAAACCGGCGCATATTATATAATTTCTTGGAATTACACGTTAAAATTAACCAGCTAAGATTGCAAGCACATAATAACGTGATGTTGTTCAACCGAAAGAAATATGAGTTAGGTATTTATTGAAAGAATGGATGTATCTCAAAAACATATTGCTTAATATTAAATTATAAGGACGTCTTACACTTCAACATTGATTTCATTGGGGGCTGAAAGATAGTATTTCTGTCAGACTGGCAAATAAAAAACCCATCCGACTTTCTTTCCTTATTAAATGAGAACTTTAAATGGACGACAAGGTGGGGGGCAACTGCCTACGGTTGCCACACCAATTAAATGGTTATATTTTATTAAAAGCGCGCTACAAAAGACACATTGCCTTTGCCAATTCCGCTGGCAATGGCACTGCCATTGCCATTGCCATGGCAAATAGACGCTGCGATTCTCGCTCATTTTGCGGTGCAACTGAGCGTATACGCAACGCGGGGGCAAAGCGCCTGGAAGAGCCACAATGGGCAGGTGTCTCGACGCCGTCGGTTGCCATAACGCCTGTGCTGACGTGGCACGTTGCCTCCCCTTTCCCCCTTCACTACCCCACGAAGAACCCGATACCAAAGTCGAAAACGAACCCGGCCCGGATCGCAGACCGCCGCAGGACGGGCCAGACAAACGCTGTTATTTATTCCGGATTTGTCTACCTTTCCCCTTTTTATTTATGTTTGGCAGACGCCAATTTTCATGGCGGTGGATGCAGCTGAGCTGCGTCTGCAGGTCTGCTGGTACGTAGTCGCCTCTTCTTCGTTCCCGGGCAGCAAATCCTGCCCACATCCACGTGACTTCTTCGCCATCTACCGCTCCAACCAGCCGGAAAATAAAAGAAACCCAAGTAGCAGCCCGCCCTCTGAACCAACTGTCGTCGGAGTTGCCAGCTCACCTTTGATTGTCTTAGAGCGGCATGCTGGTCAGCCAGTAATGAAATCTGCCCCGGCCCTTTGTTTGCTATCTGCGCACAAAACATTTCTGCTGTAAATATTTTAGCTGGAAATGCCTCCGCTTTAGCTGCTGTGGCTTTTGTTGCCCGGCCTTTGTCTTCGACGGAATTGAAACGTTTCGGATTGTTGCCAGTCAAAGTGCAAGCTGCTGCTTGGCCCTGGACTCTCCGGACTCGGTCTGTCATTTGGCTAAACACTTTAAGCAAACTATTTCCAGCAGAGACTTTTGATTAAAAAACTTTTGGCCCAGCCCCGAGCAAACAAATTCAATAAGTGCCGCTGCGAAAATCAATACAAAATCGCCACCAGATGCCCGAATTGCTAATCTAAGCCACAAAACAGAGCCGCAAAACGGAATGGAGAGGGGGCCCGAACTGCGACTGGAATTTGCGGGGGATGGGAGGCACATAAATTCAAGATGTGGCCATAAGATTTATGACGATTGCGAACGTGAACGTGGAATTTTCGGGGGCCCCTGAATAGACACCAACGTGGCAGAAAGAAACGGCGGCAACATTTGCGAGCCTCTGGCCTTTGAGCTTTGCCGGCTGAGAGGAGGCAGTTCGCAGGACTCTCTGCGGCAAGATGGCCGGCAATTTACAGTAGGCATATAAAATACACATAAAAATTGAAACCGCTCTTCGGGCAACTCCAGACATGGCGGCCAGCGAATGGGGCGTATACTTTACGCATTTTAAGTTTCAATTTCACAGCCGAATTTATGGCCAGAGATGCGACTCCGCGCTCTGCCGATGTGGATGTGGATGCGCCATGGCTATTTTATGGCCACTTCCGCTGACCAAAGGTCTAAGTGATTTCCGACATAAAAACATTACCTCAAGTCAAACGGAACAGGGCAGAAATCCTCCGGCCACTGATGAACTCGGCCAACAGCAAATGCCTAAATCAAATTTTTCACTCGCCCATTTCCGCGTCACTTAATGAAATCCGGCAAATATTTTTCCATGCCATTTCCATTGCCAGCAATCAATTGTCAACGTCATCTCGCTCCGCTTTATGGAGCTCGAGGGCCGCCATAATCCGGCTTATTATGCAAAGTAAATGCGCCGGAGTCCGCCGTCCGGAGTCCGTAGCCCGGAGTCCCGCTGCCTGGCCTTGATAATCTTCGGCGATATTTCATTGTCGTCGGCGAGGCTTGTAAATGCGTTAACAGCCCTCGATTCGTCTTCGCCCCGACTCGAAATACTTCTGCTTCCGGTTGCCGCTTATGCACTTCCTTCGCTCATTTGTCGCCAGTTTGTAACTCGCGGTCGATAGGGCCCCATTGAGAAGTCAGAAAAATCTGACATGCAAGGCGGTCAAAAATAGAATGGATGGAAAAAGAGAAACCATTAAAATTTTGGTAAAATCTGACATGAACAGGGGTCAAAGTTTCGACCTTTGGTACATGAAAAATTTTGAATCCAGTTGTATCAAGGATGCCATTACAAACATTTTGAGGAATGTCACTTATTGATCTGACTAAAATTGACAAAGCTATGGTCTGTGGAAGCTTAGTTTTCGGTCTTTATGCTGAAAATCAGGGGTCTAAAAATGTACCTCCGGCAAGTTAAAAAATTTATATCCTCGTTTTTTTTAGACATCCATCACAAACGTAATAGGTATATCACTTTTTGGTCGCTCTGAGATTTTACGATTACGAAATTACTTTTTATATTTTGAACAGTGAATAATAATTTTTTTATGTCTATATTTTTTTTAGTGTGTGACAATTCTCGTAAGCGGGTTGCTTTCATATCTCATCATGTGTTCTCTGAATTTGTTTGCCGGACTGGAGTTTCCCCTTTTGGAGTCATTTCCATATTAAATGGTTTTCCTTCGAATTGATGAAGTATCAAATTATACGGGGCGCCTTTGCAAATGATAACGACTCAGATTCAACCCCAATTTTGGACACGTTTCGTTATATTGGGGTCTCAGCTGGAAGTGATATAACGATTTCCTTCTTTATATTTGTATTTTTACTGTTGCACAATTTCTATTACGAATTCATTTGCGTATTCAAATTGATGACCAGGTTATGGTTTTCTTAGATAAGTGAAGTATTGAAAATGTTTGTACTTTTGTAATTTAAAATTTATTAATGTATATTTTACATTATTTATTTTGCAAAATAACCTTTGGAAATTAATTTACTTGATCTAATCTAATTAGGTTTCCCATTGCGTCATTTAGCTGGGCAAAACGCACAGCATGCTAAAAATCTGCTAATACAACCCCTTGATGATCCGACTTACAAGCTGCGCAGTGCATATTGAACAGCTTCCTGTCGCTTTTCCACGCTTTTCCACAACCATTTCCCCATAATGCCTTCCACCGTTCTGCCGAGCTTTGTCATTTTCGGCTTGGCATTGGAATGACTTCATTTTGAGCTCGTCCATGCAAATTCGCAACTGATTTCGGGCCAAATCACATTGTCATGTGTGCGAGTGTGGGGAGCGAAGAAAATGCAAAAACGATCTAAAAACTCTAAAATTAAGCTATCATAAGGTTTTACAGCCGGCCATCAACATGGAGCACAAGGTGGTATCCTCCGTCGCAAAAAAAAAAAAGGAAAAAAAGATGTATAAAGAGCCAAAAACGAAATAAGTGCAGTGCAATGTCATTAAAGCCGGCAAGCAGACAATGAGCTGAATGGAACTGGGAGCTGGTAGCTGGGAGCAGCGAACAGGACGTCCAGGATGACTATGGCCAACATAAAATCACTACACACTGCAGATACGGGGACATTCGGACTAGAAATGCCAACCTGGCTAGTTATAGTAAACATTTATTATGAAAAATTATAGTAGAAACTGCATTTCCTGCGTAAGTAATTATTTCCTTACCTTTATAAAGAAAACAATATTTGTAAATATATAAATAGGTATAACTAATGGTACCTTAATAATTTTGTTTGTTTATGTTACAAATGGGTGATTGTAAATTCGAGCTTAATTTGATCAAATATTAAGAATTTTTAAATTACTTTTTAAGTTTTATAAAATATAGTGATAAATGTAACTATTTTCGCATTCAAAGTTGGCACCTCTGGCTTTAGCGTTTGAAGAGGAGTCCACGTAGTGCTCACCGCTTATCGGACCACGTTGTGTGTCCTGGCTGAATGCCCCCTTCCCGCCCACTTTCCTCCAACTCCTCCCCCTTCCCCTCTGCCATCACTCCTTGTGCGTTACGTATACGTAAAGCTGTAATCTGTGCTTATAAAATGGCAAATGGCAGAGCTGCAGAGGGTTTTTAATTGTCTGTGCCGGATGGCCAGCCTTAAATGCTTCAAGGAGCGCACACATGGAATGGCCAACGACTTTGTCGAGAATTGCTGGCAGGCGAAAAAACCAAAAAAACCCTGAAAACAGGAGGAAGGGGGCTAGGAAATAATAGGGTTGTGCTCTGGGTTTTTTAATTAAAGCCCTCTCATAACATTATGTTAATGTGTGCGGTTCCCTTTGTCGCCCACGCACCTGGACCACCTGTCAACTCTTTGGCCAACTAATTACTGGCCGAGATTGAAGTGCCAGCTAGAAAGTTATAAAAAGTAATTGGCTGGCAGTCATTCCACTTGATTTCGGCCAACATTCCCCGGCTCCACTCGAATGCAAATTGAGTGTGCTATCAGCAACTGTCGGGTGGCGTTTCCTCTAAAAAATAAGCGGACTAAAGGCTATTGGCCTGGCCAGCATCGTGGCCCACCTGTTTTGGCCCTGCCGTGTATCGTTGTGCCCTTTTCGGAAGCTCTCTGATGTCGGCAGATTTAGCGCACGTAGCACATTTTAATAATGTCGACAATTGTCATATTTGTGCAACCGAAGCGGCATTATCTGCAATGGATCTGCCCGCAGTACGCGATCTGCCGCTTTTCCCAAAATTGCAGCAATTATTTTCGGGCAATTTTGTTAGATAGTGCTCACAATTAAAACTGGTAACTGGAGTCTCATTTGGTTGATAGTCGCCAGACTGCACTGAACTTTTACAAAGTGCTTTTAAATGGAAAACAGTATATTTAGACAATGTGAACATTTCTGTTTGAATCCTCTTTTAAACTTATCAAAAGATATGTAGTACATAACCCTATATCCATTTTATCGTTGACAATCCTCATGCTGAAACTAACTACTCCCAGGACATTCATCGTAAAATCCCAGACGAATTCATTTTTATTGGCAATTTTTTATTCCGTTCCCCGCCCCGCTGGCCTACAGCCTGTCATATCAATTGTCAATTTTAATTGCTGACAGTTGTCATAACTCGGTTGTTAATTTTACAACTGTTTGGATCCACAGAGCTGTCACTTGATAGCGCCCACGACACATTTTGTTTCTTGTTTCTACTTTTTGTCTGTTTTCTTGCCTTTTTTATGGTTATATAACAGAGAGCTCGGCCTGGTCGAGACTCTGGCCATATTCGCTGATGAGTCTGGCTGCTTAATATGCAACTAGCGGCCATATTGAATCATCTGAGAGACCGGCCGCCCGGGGTTTTTGTCATTAATGAGTTTGCAGCTGGACAGAGAACAAATTGTTGTAATAATATTTTGATGTATTGGTAATTGGAAGTATAGAAAATGGTATTTTAAGCAAACAAATATTTTTTAGAGATGCTATATTTTAGGCAAGCCTAACGAAATATTATTGCTACTTAAAAATTTTTGATATAAATATTCTGGGAAGTCAAAATCCGCCCTATCTTATTGTTTATCTTAATGTTAAACCAATCTGAAGCCTATTTCGTAAGGCACTGTTTAATACATTTTTTTCTTAGTGTGAAATGAACTGGGAGTTGGAGAAATCCCCATGCTGATAAGGCTGAGTCACAGTCACGTAGATATGATTTGAAAGAAATCATACATTAAATCGCTGGACTGGACGATGGCACGTTTAATTGCGGCCGATAAGGTGTTCCGCGGAATCCTCTGCCTGGGATCTCCACTCCCATTACCATTACCATTACAATTCCCCTCCAGGTCCCGCATCCCCATTCCCGTTCCCGGTCGCAATTAGTCAAACGAATTTGTAGCGCCCAGCTGAGGAATTAATCAGAAGTCGTCGCCGTTCGCTGCTCGCATTTAAATGCAAAATGCGTGCGCTAAATTACGGCGAACTGTGAGCCACAAAAGCCTAGGCATTTTTCAGCATGTAAAGAGCCGGCTCCTTTGTGGCCAAAGAAGTTCGCCCCATGCCAACCCATGCCATCCCAACCCATCGTATCCCATCCTATTCGATCCTATCCAAGTCCAAGTCCAAGTGTCGCTCGCTGGCAGATGATGATGACTCGTTTTGGCGTCGTGCTCGCTGGCGCGTCCACATTTGAATACTAATTGCATTTGGCCCGGCTCACAGTCCGCCAATCTCTTTTCGCCGGGCTTGCGGTAAATATGATAAACAACAAAGCGCGTCATTTTGACATTTGGCTGCTTTATGCGCCCACGTTTGCCACCACAACGCCGTGGAGTCTGAGCTCCCAAACTCCCACGATTCGGGCCAGCTTCATCCTCGGCCGCCTCATCTGCAGGCCGGGTTTAAACCCAGGCTCACAGCCAGCTCCTCGGTAATCGCAAATAGATATGCGGCTCAGATAATGATCGTCTTGTCGGTTGGCTTGCTTTGAACTTAAATGGGTTTTGTCTCCGTGCTGCTGCTTCTGCCGCTGTTGCCTGTCTGCGGTTTTGGCCCGGCGAATTTTGCCATGTGTTGGCCAAAAGGTTGCCGCTTGTGCAGTTTTGAGTGGCAGTTTTGCCTTTACAACTCCGCTCAAGTGTCGCGCTTTTGTGAGGCGGAAAAAGTAATCTATAGCCTTGTTTGGTCCCTTTCTGGTCACTGAATGAGTCATTTCTGCCTAAAGTGTAATATTTTGTGTTATTTAATTATGTGTCTAGCCTTGATTTTATGTCCCTTAAAAATGAATACGAAACGTAGGGACTAAAATTGGTTAGGACAAAAAATATTCCTTGCCTAGAAAAAATTCAAAATATACGTTTCGATACTAAAAGACTTGACTCAATAAGTTTCCATGTCCGTTTATTTTAAACATTCGATTCGAAGATACTGTTTGATAGAGAGCCTTTGTCTTTTTGAGTTCCCAAAGCAATTAACTTTTATGGCATTCCCCTCAGCGATGTTTGTCGCCTGTTGCCCTTAATGGCTACCAGAATATCTACAAATTGCCCGCAGTCGATGGATGCGATGTAGGAGGAGCGCTGGACAACTCGAGCCCGGCACAATGAATAATCATCGAGTGACTACAGTGGAGCCGCTCTGGCCATTCATTTGGCCACATCGCATCGCACAACATCAGCGGGCGACTTTGGGGAGCTGCAAAAATGCCCGGTAATTATCACTAAGACGCGCCGCCACTGATTAAGTATGCGACACCGCCAGTCGGTTCGGGATCCATTCTACTGGGCGCTCTTTCCAATTCTGACAGTTTGCGTACGGCTGACATGACAAGCTGCCAGCCCCGATGACGCTAAAAACTTGGCCCATTCTGCGCCTCGATTTCGGCCTCTCTGCGAATCGCAACTGCAACTGCAGCTCCCCGGGCTGAGTGACGATGGAAAGTCGAAGGATGGAGGGCCGCTTTATGTTGCCAACTGCCGACGACTGACGGCTAGGTGCACAGAGAAAAATGGGGATTTATTTAGAAGTATTTATTAAAAATATTTAGGCTTAAGTGTGAATTATGAGCCAAGATAGTACACAGAGAAAAATGGGGGTTTATTTAGAAGTATTTATTAAAAATATTTAGGCTTAATTGTGAATTATGAGCCAAGATAGTTTAATGGTTTAATATTGCTATAATGAAAACTAAAATTAAACAGTTTGTGTAAATCAATTTCCAACCTAAATATATGAATTTGTTTGAATAATAAATGCTTTGTTGTGCGGTTTTTCCAATAAACTAATAGTAGTTTAAAAGGTATTTTATCTGCAAAGGTTAACCCATTTTCTCGGCGTGTAGCAGGGAATGAGAGTGAGGAGCGAGGACCTGAGCCGAGAGCCGCATACAAATGAGGCGTACCCAATGTTGACAATGAATATTAACCTTGAGTGGTGCTCCAGCCGGTTTTTGCGTGGCCAAGGTCACCACATCCCCGCCGCTCCAGAGGATGTGAGATGGTGTGATGAGATGCTCGCCGATAATTGCCATGGGCATCGACTGCAGTCGACCTAATGGAATCGCCTTGAATGTCATTCGGGCTGATGTGTGTAATCGATTCTGTGGCCAAGTTGGGTTATTAAATGAAATGCTAAAACGCGATTTATTCGTTTTTAAATTACTTTAAACTACATTATGGGGAAATGATTACTCGATGTTTATTATAAATTACAAGTACTAGTAGACAATGTTGTTCCAAGGCGTTGATGATGTGCTTCTTTCCAGACTACAAGCCTCGCTTACGGCTACAGATTACATTAGAGATTTAAATTGGCTAAGAGAATTAGTTCCCAAGTTCCTTTTTCGGCTCGTATCGATTGGGTTCACATGCGAAGTTTGCATTCCCAGTCGCTTGGCTTGGACTTTCGAGCGTTTCGTTACTTGGCTGCTTTGCACCTCGACATTAAGGCAGTTGGAGAACAGCAGCAGCAGCAGCAGCAGCAGCAGCAGTGGAGCTGGATTCAGACTGCTAACCCAGTTTAAATAATCACGAAGTGGAAGTTACTCCGCGGTAATTACCTTTTGCATTCGCTAGATTTTTCAATTTTTTTCCTTCTTCACTCGCCTCTTGTTTTGCGGCACGAACGGCAGTTTCGGCGGTGACTGACATATCGCATCGTATAAATCGCAGCTTAAGTCGAAATTTAATAATTTCAGAGCCCAGACACTAGAGGTTCAACTGGGCTCCGAAAATGTTAAATTCTCGCCTGCAATTTGCTACACTGCGCGAAAAGCTTTAAGCCTGCTCCTTCTTCTTGCGACCGAAACTCTCGCCGTCTTCCAGGGTTTCCGGCAGCGGAAGTCCTCGAGTCTCCGGAATGAAGATGGTGCCGAGCATGGACAGCATGCAGAATATGCCGAAGATGAGCGGCGCTATCCAGATGCCATAGGTGTCCAGGTCGCAGATCAGCGGCGCCACAATGGAGCCGATCCGTCCGATCGTCGAGCAGAGACCCACTCCGTTGGAGCGCACCACCGTGGGGAAGAGCTCCGCGCCGTACAGATAGACGTTCGGGAACGTGACCGACGCTCCGAAGAGCCCGATGGCGGCGCAGGATATCCGGAATATGTCTCCTTGGCTCGAGAGGCAGGCGAGGAGGAGCAGCCCAACGGCACTGCATCCGTTCGAGAGGAGCAGCGTCTTCTTCCGGCCCAAGTACTTGGTCATGAAGACGCAGAGGATGGTTCCGGGAATCCCCACGCTGGCGGCGATCAGGTTGCTGACGAAGATGTTGCCACCCAGCCTGGAGACGTACTGGGCGGTGCCGTAGTAGACCATGCAGGCCACCAGCCAGTTATTGGCCATAAAGATGGTCTTCACCCGCAGGAACGGCGTCCGGAAGAGGTCCAGCATGGTGCCCTTCTTCACGGGCTGCCGGGCCGCTATCGTCACGTAGGCCGCCTCGATCTCCGGACGAACGGTGTCCACCGGCGCCTTGTTGCACTTGGCAATCTTCTCCAGGATCTTGACGGACTTGTCCACCCTTCCGGTGGTCAGAAGCCAGCGCGGCGATTCCGGCACCAGGCAAATGTAGATCACGAACACCGCCGAGAAGATCGTGATGCTGAACTGGAACCAGCGCCACTCCCGAATAAAGTAGGCGAAAACGGCCAAGGAGGCGTGGCCAATGTTGAAGGGCAGCTGGTAACAAATGGCGATCAGTTCGCGCCTCTTGGGTCCCACGATCTCCATGATCAAAACGAAGCTGCGGATGGAACGAGGATTTTAGTTGTCTGAATATCTGTTGGGAGGTATCCCGAAACCCACCTGGCGGTCATCGTTCCCGCCGTGGCCACAGCCACCAGGAATCTGAACAGGCAGTAGAACCAGAAGTACGGCGATACGCAGACGATCAGCCCGGTGATCAGCTGCATGAAACAGCTGGTCAGGAAAGCTGGACGTCGGCCAAATCTGAGGGTTACAAAAGAAGTCAATATTAAAAAAAATATTATCAAATATTTGTATTTTGCTTTATTACAAGTTCGATGATAAGATAAGTTTCCAGCAATGTCTTACGAAATTGAAATTACAAACATTTTCAAAAAGGCTTTTAACGAACAAAATTCCCGTTTCTGAATGTCCTATGAAAATATGGTTGGTTTTGTTTAAGTATCAAAAAAAAAGGAGTCAAAACTGTAGAGTTCTCATGTAAAAATGATTTTTTTCATCGATCGAGAACTTCTCGAAAGTGAAAGTGAAACGGAAAAATTGTCATTCGCTTAGTCACCTTGAAACTCTTTTAATCGCATTGTAAGTCAGCAAGTAAGCGAATGATTTTTTTTACTAAAGAGATTATATACTTACCGATCAGCACCCATGCCGAAGAGCAAGCTGCCCACCAGGATGCCGAACATCACGATGGACTGGGACAAGCTCGCCAGCTGCTTCTTCTCGCACGTGAGATCCCACTCGGTGATGATGGTCGATTTGAAGACACTGGTGTCGAACTCGATCTCCTCGCACTCTTCACTGCAAGGATCCGTGACGTTGGCGGTGGCGCAGGATATGTCCGTTGGAGCGGCCAGGAAGATGTGGCCCAGCGTGTGCCATCCCGAGCCGAATTTACACAGAAGGATCAGGAAGAAAAAGAACAACTGGTAACGCCGGAAGTCGCCGATCTGCGAGATTATTGGATCGGCTGTTTTTTCCACGGGCTTCAGCTTAGTTGGCGCCTTTCATTCTTCTGTTTGTCGGCCATGGCGTTTATTGGTGGCTATAAAAAAGATTTCGTGCTGTCAGGTGTTTTAATTTTGAAGAAAACTCTGTTTTTTTGTTCAGTGCAGAGGCCTACTGCGCCGACTGGTTTTCGTTTTGTGGGTGGACTTTCTCAAATATTTGCCGGCACCAGAGCAAATTGGACATATCGAGCGGTGTGGCTCAGTGCAGACTGGCGTGAAATTATGGAACCCGGGCAGATAGTGATTTCGTTTACCAGCAACCGGCCACCACTATCAACCGGTTTTCGCGGAGAGAGAGCCGCAGATATTCAGTTTGCGGCAGCGTGACAAGTCGGAGTTGCGGGGAAATAGAAGACGGAAGGGCGGAATGGGGGGCATTAGCACTTGGCCAGCGGATCCACCGCCAAAATGGCATTTGGAAATAGGAGTACGGCCTCCATCGCCGCTGCAGCTTGTCAGCCAAAAGGCCAAGAGACTGGGGCTAAACTTTTACTCTTTAAGTAGGTAAATGAAGTCGACTGCCTGCTTAATTGGAGGAAGGTGCGCCCGGGGACTTCGCCCGATGCTGGGATCTGGCTGGCAGATTAAGCCATTGTCTGCCCGCCGATAACCGCGAGTCCCAGTTACCCATTGAGATGGCTTAATTAAGGAAGCACTGCCTCAGTGAAAGTTGCCCGGAGAGCCGGAGAGCCAGAGTCAGAGATTTCTGGCCTGAGATTCCGCGACGAGTTCCCACGGCAACGACAACCTGTCTGGCGGAGGCATTTTGCGCAATCGTCAGTGGCTGGCGAAATGTCACAACAATTGCAAATGAATTATATATGCAAATTGGATGGCCAATCAATGGAGTAACCATTCACAAAACACATACGACTGCCACGTTGTAAATCTATTGAAGCACAAAGCACCTTCTGAGGCGAAGAAATACTGAATGAATCAAAGTTTCCTCAAATGCATTTGCTTAGTCCCAAAGTCACAAGGCAAAACAAAAAGCTTTGTGAAATCTTTATGGGCGCTTAAACCTTTTTTGTTCTCAGCGACACACTCATTTACACTTATTTTACACTACAAAATTGCTATCGTTTTAATCTTTAACTTTTGTTTACAACACCTTAAGTTGTAAAGCACTTACCTAAAGAATTTTTTAGAAATTAAATAAATTGTTTTCCTATTTGTCCATTAATAAATTTTGAACGGAATATTCCGGGGGCTTGTCGGGGGCCAAACTTATAGAATTGCGCGATAATATTAATCTTGCTGGTTTTTAATCACGTCTGGAAGGCTTCGATGCTCCACAATCAATGGCACCAGCATCGCGGCTCGTCTATATAAAAAAGCTTCGGGGACGCATGTACTTTAATCCCAGATGATAAGAGACGTTCGACACGCGTCGCCAATAAGACAGACAGTACCAACTGCCCTGAACTTGTGTCCAAGCGAGATAACATTCGCATATATCTCTTGTTTACAAAACTATCTCATCTGAATTAAGCCTTTCCACAAACGTCATATAATTGCTTTGGCAGAGATTCGCTTCTGCTTTCGTCACAGCTTCTGTATTCATAAATATACTTCAGGTTTTTTCGGTTATTAATGGAGACATCCGACCGAGAGTCGATACCACAGACCAATAAATCCAAACATAATCACGCACTGTTCATCTGCTGACCACGCGTTTCTCAAACCTGATAACTTATGGTTTACTCACGATATTAGCGAACGAAACAACAACAAGTGAGGCGGGAAGTTTATTTACTTGGCGTGCTGATAATTGCGTTTAATAATCCTAATCTTTTAAGCATTTAACAATTAGCTATAAATAACGATTTTTTTGTGATGCGAGCTGCAACTAATTAAAATGCGAGAAAATAAATTAGGGAAAAATAACATGCGAAACATTCATGATCAGCTTTTGATATGTTAAACGGAAGGCAAGTAATTAAAATTATAAATATACTCTTAGGTGATTTATTGAACATTGATTGTATACTATATATTAATATTTTTTATGATTTAAATATTAAAAAAAACCTAACCCATACTTAGCAAATTATAAACTCTCAATTTTAAATAACATATTAATGCAAACAGAAAACTTTGGATGGGCGAAAATGGAGGGAATCAATGCCCAGCCGATCTGCCATGCAGCCACAAAACTAAATCCAATTAAAGAGCCCGTTTAATATTTACATTTGGTGCCCTGACAAGTGGTCTAAGCCGATTTCGGTGTCCTGAATGGGCCACCGAGCGGACTGTTTAGGCCAGATATACTCGTACGTACTCGCCAGTCCCAGGAGCGGGGAAACGGGTATTTATGGCCCGGCAACGCTCCAATTAGCACACAAAAGGATTACAGGGGAAATGCCAAAATTCTGGTGCTGGAACAGCCGAGCATTGGGCATTCGGCATTCGGGATTGGGGATTCGGCACTTGGCAAGGCCAACAAATGTTTGGGCCGGCTTTGGAGCGCTTTGCGGTTTTTCTTCCATAATTGCAGGCCAGAACTGAACTGAAGTGGACAGTGGTCGAGTGGCCAGGTCCAGGCCGCCGGATTGCGAGGAATCCACTTGAGAGCCAGCGAGCAAATCAAGCAGCAGGCATTTAATTTCAAACTGCCTCCCTCCCATTCCCCTCCCGTTCCCCTCCCACTCTACACACACCAGGGCGCAATCAAAATATTTTATAGGTTGGCCATAAAGAAATTCATAAAGCGAACAGCAGCAGCAGAAGCAACTGCAACTCTGCCAATTCATACGAAAATTGCTAACTCAGCGCTCACATATATCATTTTTATGCGCGGCCACGCCCCTTTCAGCTCGTAGTAAATTGACAAATGCAGCGGGCCAAGTCTGCGAGATGTCTTTGCCACTATTTAAGGTCTTTTTCCGAGGGGTTCGAGGGGCTCGAGGGCGGCGGAGGTGGAGGCGGAGCCGCTGGATGCTGCAAGCTGGGAGCATTGCAATGAAAAAGCGCACCGAAAACTATGAGCAACGCTTAGCGAAATAAAAGTGCTTGTAATATGTAGTTAAAATCCAACTAAGGCGATTACCGCAGAAAGAAAAGCGAATGGAGGATGCTCTGACTTGGAAAATCTAGTGGATTCAATAACTAAGAACCTTCTAATGAACTGCTTAGTATACATTGTTTATCCAAATAGCTACTTACAAGGTAGAGAAATATTTCTGTACGAAAAAACTTACCTGAGCAAAAATTCGCTTTTTCTGGATCAACACTTCACACCTGCCAAGTGTTCGTTTCAAACTGCGAAAAATCAATAAACTGACCTTACTTTATATATGGGAAAATGGCTAAACTACCCTTGAAGCAGAAACACACCTCAAAGCACCTGTTCGGTTATCGAGCATCTGCCTGTCGTCTCGTTGCAATTAGCTACCTGTCCGGGGAAGATATAGTTGTATATAGTTTATATACCTTCTAGTTGCTTGCGTGTAACATTGAAATTTTACTTACGGCACTTGGGTTTTGGACAGAGGAAAGATTAATTGAGAGTATACTAAATCGAAATTAAAAGGGATTTGATTTCAAAATTGCTCAACCCTTTATTATGAGTATTTTTAAGCTACAAGTCAGAGTAAAATATTTGGGAAGAAATATTCAAATGTGTTATAAGATCAGACATCGGTTTTATATCCAGTAAAATAGTAAGCAGAGTCCTTAACTTTTTAAGGGAAATGTTTTACATATCTTTGTTTTTCGTAACCAGTTAAATGACCAATCGGTTCACTATGTCTTAGTGCCCCAATTCAGATGGCAGGGTGTTCATTGCGGGAAGAAGCAGCTAGAAACAAAGCGCCGCATCAACGCTTTTGGCCCTGGTTGCCTTGGCTTTCTGCCCCGGCCTCTGCAGTCGCCCTGCTCCTCGCTAAATCCGCTTTGATTAAGTGCTCAGTCTTTTATGTGGAGATTTTTTAATCGTTACCTCGTCCCCTCGGCGAGAAGACGGATGCAGGGATGCAGGGGAGCGGACTCCAAGGACCGGAGACCGAAGGGCGTGCATGTGACCATGCCCCGTAGATTAATCGCTAATCTGTCCCTGGAGGGCGTACTGACATTTTTAAAAACTGCGCACAGCTCAGCAGAGCCGAAGAAGCCGCTGCCTCATCCTGCTGTCCACTTCATCCCAGGCCATTTGGAGATGTCTTTGGTCTCTGTTTTTTTGTTGTCGGACGGCACATCATTCCCGTTTCGAAGGGATCCTCTAGGACTTCGCATTCGGCCTGCGATTCGCACCTCTTTTTCCGTACCTTTCGGACTCCCTTTTCGGGTTTATAAATAAATTAATAAATTTAAGCCGGCATTAATTATTATGCTGCTTGGCCGGGCGGCAGATTAATGTTTTAATTTCGCTAGCCTAGGCTTCGATTAATTTATGCGCGCCCTGTTTGCAATTTGTGCGCCGTTTTTTGAGTAATTTCGACTGGCCGGGGGCAATAAAGTGCATTAACATGGAATGCGGCTGCCGCTGCGGGCAGTTGAAATTGTTAATTTCGAAGCATAATAAAACGCGGCAATATGTTGCAGCTAAGCCGGGCCCCTTTCAATTTGCACTAGACGGACGTCCTAATGTGTGTCACATAAATCAGCGGCCGGCGAGGATTCGTGATCATCCTCTGAGGTTGCCCAATTTGGTGGTTTACTGACGGCTCTAGCTCGGAATTAATGCCAGAAGCTGGTGGGAATGATGATGAGTCGCCTGCCAACACTTCCCAGATTGATGAGTGAGATGCTCCATGCTGAGGAGATCTCATCTTCCAGAGCCACTTGTATTCTTCGTATAAACAAACCGAAATAGGCCTTTTGATCTCCCCTTAAGTTGCTCACTTAAGTCATTTTTAAGATAATCACTTCCTCGAAAATCTTTAAAAATAACACATAGGGTTTTCCATAACAATATATTGGTTATAAATTAATTAAATGCATTCTGAATTGAATGGCTGATTTATTTAAAAAAAAATACATTTTTCTAATATTTATTATAACACTTAATTTATTTTGAACCCATCTGGTGCTCCAATGGTGACTTCTACCTGTGAAATATGTTTTTCTCAATGTACATAGGCATCGACTTGAAGGGCTGTAATCAATTTGTTGGCCAGCGGCCTCGGAGAGTCCTGTGTTACCTGATTTACGCGTGACGGGCACGCGAATCGAGGCGTTTAATTTCCGCCGCCGACAGCCGTTCTCACCGCAGCCTGTCAGTCAGCGGGGCAGCTGTCATAATACCGCTCCGCTTGGCGAACGCCGACCCACGACCCTCCGCCCTCCACCCTCGGTTGCCAATTCTCGGGGGCTGTGGCAAAACAGCTACACTGCTACCGCTCGGATGGCAGTAGACCAGAAGGTAAATAAACCCCTTGTCAGGCCGCAGCTTTATGCATAATTAGCTTTTGCCGAGCGAAACTCCGAGCTCCGTGCGAGT